ATTGTTTGAAGCCTGGAGAGCCCTCTCTAGGCTATGCCCTAAGCCAGGTTCCAGAATTTCTTGCCCCCAACCTTCTCCTAGGGCCGGGGCTGGCTTCTCCCCTGGGTCCTTCCTCCCAAGGTTATGACACCTCTAGGCTCATTTATCTGGGGAAAGGAGAGGGCAGATCTGATGTGTGTGTGTGTAAGGCCACTTAAGGCTCAGGATGGAACCCCAGTTCGGGGAGAAGAGGCTTGGGGCCAGTCCTCTCTGTGTTGACACTTCCCATGCAGAATTTGGTAGAAGTTTGATGATTCTAAAGTCAAACTTGCCTGGCCTTCTAGAATATTCTAAAAGACAGATCAGTCACAGGAGAACTATACACACTTTTTAAACAATTTGTGATGAAATTTATAACTTTTGAAAGATGAGAGCTATGGTGGGTCTCTCTCTAACCCTTGCCAGGGGTCCTGCAAATGTCTGGGCAGATTGCTGGCGATGGTGGCTCTTCACATGGTGAGTCACTGAATAAATAGAAATATCACCACGGAATTTTATCTCCTAAGGATATCTTTGGGCTGAAAGAAATATAAAAATTTCAAGAAACTTATTAATAACTCACAAGTATTGGTACAATTGTTAATTTTAGAAATTTAGCAAAAAATTTCATTCATTCATTCATTCATTGCTGAATGCCCACTACAGACAGGTGGTTATAGATGGAATTGTGTCCCCCAAACTCATCTGAAGTCCTAACCCCTGGTACCTCAGAATGTGACCCTATGTGGATACAGGGTCTTTAAAAAGGTGATTCGGTTAAAATGAGGTCATCCGGGTCATCCCCCCAGATATAATAATGGTGCGCATGTGCTGAGTGCTGTGTGAAACGGTAAAATCCACAAGGCCGCATGCTTGAGATTTGCCAACTCATTTAATTCTCACGACAGCCCTATGAAATAGACACTATTAGCGTATTACCATTTTAGTAATGTAGAAATCGAGGCATAAAGTGTTTAAGTAATTTTCTCAAGATTACACAGCCTAGATCTATAGTGCCTGGCATATATGTTGCAGAAAGTTTCTTACCAATATTCCACTTGATCAATATTTTTGTCAACAAAGCAGAAAGCGCCGTGCTTTCGTGCCCTCATGAAATACACAGACTGCACCCGTGATGTACTAGTTGTCAGCAGCTGCTCAGCTATTCTTCAGCCACCTTCATTCATGCTCTTGAATGTCAAGCTCTAGGCTCACCAAGAGACCAAATCATATATGCCAGTTATACTTTTGTACTGTACTTATGTAATAAGAACAAATATTTTGTAAAGCAATAAAATAAGAGTACAAAAAGGGAATTAACTGCATGGAAACCTAGTTGAATAGTTGAGGAAAACATTAATGGCAAATCAGTTACAGTTGCTGGCAAACTGGGGGGGTGGGGATGGGAGATGGAGAAGACAGAATCTTAAAAATCGGTTATGATTCTACACTCAGATTACTCTCCAAGGGCTAATGGTTTTATTCCAATAAAAGAAAGCAAACAGGAAATCAGAATTGATGCATCCGGTGGAGAAACAATATTAATTCAATCAGTGGTTCCATATGCAGACAATTACCTGGGCGGGCACTACATCAAAAGCTTGGCAAATTCATGTCCACTTAAATGCTTTGTGTGTGTGTATGTATAAGTTATTATTAAATATTTTAATGATTTCTTAATTACTAAAATAGCTTCCCAATTATGTTCAATTGATATTAGATGACTTGTACACTATATACACTTTCAAATGCATATCATGGTTCTACCAGCCTTAAAACCTGGAAAACCTGTGGCTTGTTGAGGCAAAAACTCAAGCAAAAGTGATAAGCACCATTCAATGGAGAGAGCTACCACTACTGAAAGAAATAATGCTCCTTATTTCCCGTGATATTTCTGAGTTATTGAAAGCAAAATGTAGCAGAGAGAAAACAAAACACTGGGCTCCCTAAGTGGTCTTTCTTGATGAAAGAGAAAGAGACAGATAAAGATAGAAATGATAGAAAGAGAGGGGTGGAGGAAGAGACACGGGGGAGGGGGGGAGAGAGAGAGAGAGAAAGGCAGGTTTAAACAGAATCAGACGGAAAGGCCTGGGTTGATATTAAAGAGAAAGATGAAAAAGCACAGTTGAAGTCTTCTAGACCCAGGCCTTCGGACTACCTGAATTATTTATCAGGTGACTGTAGCCAGACCCCAAAGAGCTGTGGGTTCTTAGCGGCGTCTTCTTTGTGACCTGGGATGATTCTAAACCCTTCATGTCAGAGTCAAGCTTTTGCTAACCAGCTCTGACAGCCAGACAAGGCTGGGAGGGCTACTGCCAGCCTTCCCATTTCCTTTGCTAATCCCTGCATTCCAGCGCTCAGTGTGCACACACAGCAGGAAGCACTAATTTCTTCCCATTTTCTAAACCCTCTTTGAAGATATTTCTCTAGCACTGCTCTGAACTGCAGCTATTTAGAGCAATTTGGTTTATCTGCATCCTTTATTCCGTCTGCCGTTAGTCCAATTTCAAATCCGGTAAGGACAAAAGAAATTATTCTGTTTTAAAAACAATCCTTGTCTTACTTATCTTGCTTCTAATGTTTTCTTCCCTCCTGTTAAGCAAAGTTTTCTAACTCTCCATTTCTTCACCCACAGCAATCTGTGCAAACAAATGCTGCCCGTGGCCATGATTAATCTTTAAAGGATGACCCATCGTGAATAACAATGTTTAAAGGCGTGCTTGTTTGTGAAAGGGCAAAAGGAGTTAAAAATATTGAGTCCTCGAAGAAATTGACAATTTAGTTGGGTAAATAAAATACGCACATTAGAGAAGATTACCAGGCAACAGATAAACATGTGGAAATCCGTGAGACAAGATATAACTAAGGACAACCTGAGTGAGAGGCTGGAAACATTTTATTCCCGAACAGCCCGCTAAAACAGGCATGTCATTAACTTTCCTGGGCTTCCTGCCATGCATCTCTTTGGAAAGAGACGGAGTCCACTATATCGAAGCTCCTTTCAATTTTAAAATAAGGCCAGCCGCCCCACTCCCTCCAAATCAACCAAAAAATCGACACAAAAATATCTTTAAAAACAAATAAGACAGGGTGGGATTAATTTAGAAAGAATAGCATTCGAAGTTCTTGAGTTCATCGAAACATATTTAAAAAACAATACATGCAGACATCAGTGAAAGCTATACATTTTAACATGTCAAACTGGCCCCATCAAGGTACCATGAAAAGTCACTCGCTTTACCCAGAAATCTGCACAATTTTCATCTGTAAACTCTTCTCTGCTCTTAATCCAGGTCTCAGCGACCTGCCAAGATCTGACAGGAAAAGGAAAGAAAAGCCAACTAAAGAGGGCCCTTCTTCATCTTCCATCAGCCAGTATTTCTCTGCCCTTATCTTGTCCTCGGCAGAGTTCACTCAGCCATGAGCAATGAGCCAGGGCCATTCTTTATTGCTGGTGGGGAGCTTATCAGTTGCTCGGTCAATGCCATTATTCCAGAAAGCATCATGGCACATCCTTCCCCCCATGGTAATCGATGCCCAGGACCTCCACTCCCTCTTCCCCACAGACACAAGCACAGGGGCCCCTGGCTCTTTGGAGTTTATGCCGTTGACCAGCTAAGGCGGCTACCAAGCCCCAGCACTACTAAGTGCAGGGCTCCGTGCTGAGTCTCCAGGGAATTCTCAAATGTGTAAGTTCAAGTCCTTGCCGGCAAGTTACTTAGGAGAGACAAGGAAGATGGCTAGATGAATAATTGAAGACAGAAGGTCATAAATAGAGGTACCCACAAAATTATATTCAGGCAGAAGAGAGAGGGAATATTTGGGAAGATCTGAAAGGCTTGAAAGGAAAGTGTCACTGTAAAGAAGAAAATCACCTCAAGACTTTCCTAAACCTCCCAAATAATCCTGAGAACAGAGATGATCATTAATCTGGGTTTAAGGGGGCTTTTCTCTGTAATATATCTTCCAAATGATTATTAATTTTATTCTATACAGGAATGAAGTGACCCCACACAATGCTCACATGCATCAAAGGATACACCATCCATTTATGACAGTCTAGCAGCTTGGTTCCTAATAAACTGTCAGATCCATTCTGCTACCAGGCAAATTGGTCATTGGTATAAACAAAAGGTTCCAATAGCAAAATTATGCCTACCCTTCCCATTTCTCACTTCATAATTATTGGAAGTTTTACCTAATCATAGTTGTATGGAAGGTAGAGTCCCTGAAGCTAATCTCACCCTGGAAACTCTAACTTGGCTTTGACCAAAGACAAAGAAAGAGCAGAATGTCGCCAATCCTGATTTCTCCAATTTGTTCCCTGAGCTTCAGGGTGCTTTCATGAAATCAGAAGTGCCATCTAGCCTTCCAACGCAGAAGCTGAGTAGGGAAAGGAGCCAGGAGCGTACCAGGAATAATTCCGCAACGGTAGCTCCAAATCGGAGCACAGACAGGTTGTTTTAGCAAGAAGCTTACACTAAGAAATTGGAATCAATGTATCATCACTGGAAAAGACAGTTTTGTTAGGAGTGAGCAAAGAAAATAAGGTAGTTATATAGATATTTTCATGTAACATACATATAAATTTTATATGCATTTGTGTGCATATATTATATATATGCAAATACATTTACATCCACATAATACATTTTATTACCTTTTACTGTAAATAAGTATTGAATAACAAATTTTAGATAGGCTTTTTTAAAAGTGTCATTGTGAAAAGAACCTTTCCTCCACATCAACCAACAAGCGATGTTTGTCACAGACAATGCACTCTTCTACCTGACCTCCAGGAGCAACCACCTGGTATTCAACACATTCCATAGTGGACTCAAGGTTAAATCTTCCATTTCTGAGTACTGAACGCCAGATACAGGGCTATCCATTGCTCCCACTACTGTTTCTCAGCAATCCATATCCCTGTGGCTTTACCAATAATAATGATAATATTCACATAGAATTTACAAAGTACTCACCCATACACCTCTATAAGGCAAGTCCTGTCATTGGTCCCATTTCAAAAGTGACAAATTGAGGCTCAGGCTGTTCCACAGACTTGTTCGAGCTTATCTAGGTAGCGGGTAGCAGAGCTGGGATTTAAGCCCAACAGGGTTGTGCTCCTTCCTTTGGGGTGAGGTCTTTAGGGCTTTTCTGCCCAGGCCATCGATTCCCGGCAGCTTGCCATTCACCGGCTACGAGGGCAGCCTGCTGTCTTCTATTATCCAGGGGCCTGTAGTCTCTGTGGGGAAGTCGTGAAGTTGGGCAGAATTTTAGCCGGGCAGCCTGGCTGTGCTCCAAGACTTCCTTATTAGGATCATGTGGTGTCATTGGAAGTTCAAAGGGGATTGTAAGCAATGTCGATACAATGGCTCAACAATGGTCTACGAGTCCATGGAGAGTTCAGCTGGGCCCTGGTGGGTCTGGGCTGCCCCTTCACTGCCTGCCTCAGACCACGTTCTAGCAGTTGGTCTCTTCCACGTTTTGCTTCCCTTCAATCTCACCCTGTACCCCCTTCAGCACGTTAGCTTCTATCTCTGCAACTTCACTGCCTTCCTGAGCCTTAGCCCCTGCCTGGCCATCAGCTGAACCCACTCCTTTGTGAAGTTAACCTTGTGTTCTTCATTCCACCTCCTCCTTACCCTCCTGCCTTCTATAGGACATGGCTCCCACTTGTTTATTTGATTCCATTTTTTAATATATAGAATGAAGGTAATATCAATCTCTCTGGACTGATAAAAGACTACATCAGTCATTCAACAAACATCTGCTAAGCACCTGGAATAGATCAGGTGGCAGCATGCATATAAGTCAAAGACTTGACCTGAAACTAGGTCTTCCCTGATGACAAAGATGATCAGGTCTTCACTATTTCAAAAACTATGAAGTCCACCAAGCTCCCACTCCACCTTTCTCATTGCACTCATGTAAATTATCTGTTTTTCTTACCCTCTGGCTCGTTATAATCCATTTTATACTATCCTGAAATATTTCATAACTCCTCCCTAAAAAGTCCACAATATGACTTCAAAATCCAAAATCCAGTGGTTTCTTTCAGTCTTCCCCATGTTTACTTCTCTGCAAGGGTTGATACTCCTGACCACTGTTCCTTTCCCTGAACTCTCCCCTCCACCAGTTTCTCTGATATCCTTCCAGGCTCCCTCTTTCTCTTCTGATAGCATCTGTTTTCTTCCCAACCCCTAAATGTGGACAGTCTTCATAGGTCTAGCCTTATACACCTCCTCTTCAATATTTGATGAAATGCTACTGTTTAATCTTACAAAGCTGGATCCTAAATCTCCAGCCCAGTTCCAGCATCTCATCAGAAATTCAGTCCTATATTTCCATACGCATGGACATTAACAGCCATATAACCACCTGGAACTTGAAACCAAATCTCTCAGGCCCTTCTTCTGATTTCTCCATTTTGCCCAATGGCATTGACATCCCCTCTGTTACCCACAGTAAAGAGGTCACCCGTCCTCCTATGTGCTCCTACCCTACCATCCAAATGAGTCAATAGTGACGACAATTCTTTCTTGAAAACTCCCTTTTCAAATATTTACAGCTTCCCCCATAAATGAGCTAGACTTGCACTTGCCTCATACCTCATTGTCTGGAGGCTCTTTCCTAACCGCCGTCAACTCCTTGCAGGAAACATCCTGACAGTGTCACTGCACTGCCTGACTCAAAACTTCGTTTCTACTGCCTGTGAGGATAATGCCATTTCAACTTTTCTATTGCTGGATGCAGCCTATCTTTTTACAGGGATCTTGGATTTAAATCCCAGATTTACCACTTCCTAGCTACGTGGCCTTGAGGAAGTTGCTTAATCCTTCTGTGTCCTGGTCTCTTCATTTGTAAAATACGCATACATTTGTTAACTCACCGATGAAAGAAAGGATGACACATGATCAAACGTCTAAGGAACAACATAAGAAGGAGATAATTTTATTGTTAGACCTACTCAGTAATTCTTCAGCTTTAATTCTTTACCTTTAATTTTGTTAGTCCAACGTGGTACAGAGGGAAATACGTAAGCTTTGTAGTGAAGAGAAACCAGTGTTCAATTCCTGAGTGTTCTAATGAGCAGCTGGATGACACTGAAGTCATTTAACTTCACTGAGTCAAGGTTTTCTCCTGGTGAGTAAGATAAGAACACTTACCTTATAGGTTACTTCAAAAATCGAGAGTAGCGGTACATTGTATCCATGGTAGCCACCAACTCAATGGAAGTCATTAAGATTATTCTTGAGAACGGTTTAAGGAGATAGCAGCCATCTCCGACACTGGAAAATATTTTTATCTCATTGGGTCTCAAGTGTGCTTCATGGGGTCAAAAGCTGTTTGCATTTGTCATCTGAATTTAAACAAACAAAAAAACCCCACTTCCCTTATTTCATCTTAAAGCATAGCTGCATAAAATACATTGTATATGACTAAATCTATCACTCAACACTACTTTTTAAAGAGAGCTTATCTGAATAGCAGAAAGAAGTAAAACCACGGATTCCAGAGACCTGGGTCTTTAAGTTTTGTCACTAAACAGATGTGTGGCCTTGGGGAAAGTCGTTTCATTTCTCTGGGCTTGAGCATTTCTATAATGCCTAAGGTTTCTTGCAGCTTGAAAACCCCATGAGTTCCAGAAATGGAGTGCCACCCACTGGGTCCAACTGAGAAGTACCTTTAAGATTTGAAGAATTCAGAGCATTTGAATGTCACCATCAGAAGTTAAGCTCTACGATGAAGAGAATGGACATAAAGTGTTAATGATGATGACAGAGAAGACTTGGTTTCCTGAGTCTGATTCTCGTATCTAGTTTCTCATAAATATCACGTATGAATTGCCACCTAAAATCACATGAAAATCTAAGGAAGTGTAGAATGCCAGTAGAATGCCTTTACTCAATTAAAAAAACTGTTTAATTCTAAGATGAATAGATGTAGTCATAGACTTGCGTGTCCAAACATTTTCTCTGCCATTAATGAAATGTGGGCAAATATTAAGCAAATCATTTAACTTCTTCAATCCAAAAATTCCTTACCCCATGGTAATAAAGATTAAATGAGGGCACATATGCAAAGCCTTTACTTATAAATGGTCTGAATGGAGGTAAGTGCTCAATAAATGGTAATCATTATTTTCATCATCAGACTTGTGCTGTGTTTATATTAAGTAACTAGATTAAGTTTTGAATGAAACAGCTGAAGTGAAATAGTGACTAGTATAGACAAGCCACTAAAGAAAGTTTAAAACTGAGGGAATCAAGAGTTGATTTCCCAACTGCAGAAAATGATGTTTATGACTGTAAATAAGTCGATTTTGCTCGTGTAAAAAAAATGCCAACAGAACATACCATCCCTGCCGTCCCGCCCAGCGGTAACATCCTGTCAGTCAGTATATAATTTTAAGCCACACAGCTTACTGTAAATTCACTGACACCTTTAGATTTCTGCAGAAGCGGAAATGACTGGAGTGGAGAGAAGCGTGGTTTTTCTGTGAATAGACCAGACTTCTCACAAGCTCTTTACACCCTCTAAATGTCTTTTTAAAAATATATTTCTATTGTGTTTTTGAGAGAGGAAGGGAGAGGGGAGAGAGAGAAACACTGATGTGAGAGCGACACATCGAGATCAGCCACCTCCTGCACGCCCCTTAGGGGGATCCATCCCCCAACCCGGGCATGTGCCCTGACCACCGGGAATCAAACCGGCAACCTTTCGGTGCACAGATGACTCCCAACCAATCGAGCCACACTGGCCAGAGTCACACCCTCTAAATGCCTTAAAGTCAACTGCATTTTGTTACTTCTGGTGTTAAGCTTTTAACTATGAAAATAGTGCAGCTTAAGGAAAAACCTTATAGAATTTTGTCATTTAGCTGGGAATGGCAGCCAGCAAAATCGAGTAAATAAAAAAGCAAACTCATAATGGCATGTCCATGATGTCTTTCCCTGCCGACAAGTCCAGTATCCCCTAATGGCTCAGCTCATTTACTCACATGCTTATCCCAGTTAGTAAGAGACTAGGTACTAAGTAATATATAGAAATGTCGTTCATGCTTAAATAGCTCATATTTTTCTTCATCTTTCTTTCATGCCTTGACATAGTTTCGCTCATTTTCCAGCTCCTTGAACTTCATTTTTCCTTATTATATTTTAATTGACTTTTCATATTAAATTCTGCTTGAAAGGATGCTTTGAGTTAAAAAGCGCCAAACTAGTCATACCTTTTGAGCAGAGCGTTATGTCATATTTAATTTGATCCAAATTTCTATAGCAAATTGACTTGCCTCTTTGTTTTTTCCTATCAACACAATAAAATGTAATAAGTGCATAGCTAAAAATAAAAGAGAGATAGAAAACAGTTTCTGTCATTCAAACGCTCTGGTTTCACCTTGACTTTCACTATCATGAAACTCTGTCATTTTTAAATGTTTGCTTGCTTTCTTAGAGTCCAATTGTTAAAGCCACATGCAACCTCTCAGCTCTGCATTGAGGACACTGTGGAAAGTGTGCTGAAAATCAATCGAAAGTCAAGTCAACACACCACATAACAAGGCACAGTTAGCATGTTCTGATCTGTGCAGTAACACGGTGAATGCTCGCCTATGAAACACCCAGATTCTCCCTGTGCCATGGTGATAGGCAGAAAGAGTTTTAACAGTGAAAATGTTAAAAGAAAAGAAAAAGTTCTTCAAAAGATGATGGGTTCAGTTACGTTATAATTTCTAAATCTGAAATTCTTTTCTCTTCTTGCACATTGGACAAATCCAGAAAATAAATTCTCACCTTAAAGTCCCTTTTACACATTAAAAAAGAGTCACAAAAAAAAAGAAAAAAAAAGAATTACTTAAAAAACAAACAAACAAAAAACCCCTTCTTATGCTTGTGTCTAATCTGTAATCTAGTTCACGGTTTACAAGGCATAAGTGTGACAAATAAACAAAGGTGCTGGAGCATCTCAAAAAAAATGAAAAAAGCTGCATTAAAAAGTGCGTGTCCAACTGTTTTAACATTCACAGAAAAGCTTGATTCATTTTAAGTTTCTTGTGACGACAAGGGCTGGTGGCTATTTAATCAGCGCCACCTAAACCCAGGAGGACAGGCTCTATGTCATTCTCCAGATCTGCAGGAGAAGATAATGTTTGAAAACAAACAACTGTAAGATTCAGAGGAGCCTGTTTCCTGGCCCCCGGGTGAGATGCGGTCTCCTGCCCTGTGCAGGGAAGGAGGCCGTTGATTTGTTGGACACCACTATTTTAAAAAAGCTCTTCCTGAACAGTCAAAAAATGACCTGTCATTTCCCGAGAGATGCAGCCACAATCCTGTCTGAAGATGGAAGTAAAACAGCCTGATCCCAACTGCAGAAATCTCAAAGCCCTCCCACCCCACCCCAGGGGACTCATGGAGGTTGACTCTGAGCGACAAACCAAGCCAGGAACGTGCTCACCTCTTGCTAGTTAACTGAACCTTTCTA